GGAAGGTTATTGATTTATTTCTCAAGATTTCGTTTTAGTAAACAAATTTATATTCTAAAAGTTCTAAGATATATTTTAAAAGAGAAATACATATATTTTGATAAGACGCACACATATTACAAATAAAAGGTGTGCTTTATATCCTTTATTCTTGAAGATGCTGCTTAATGTGTGTTCAGTGAACCATATGTTCATTATAAGAAGTTGAAATATGTTCAGTAAGAGTTAAAATAAAATGCGAAATGTGTCTGTGTGTCTTTTTCTCTTCTCTCTCTCTCTCTCTCTCTCTCTCTCTCTCTCTCTAATGGATTGCATCTTCTTCATCTTTAATGACCCACGTGCAGTCGACAGGGTTTAAACTTACTGGAAATATTAACAGTGTATAGCTCATCCTGAAATCTGTAGTTCGACACTCATCCCATATTTCCCACCTGCAGGAATACAAGGTTACATGGGAGGAGATGGATCCATCGTGGGGACGGTGGGTTCTGCAAGCGAGGGCAAGCGTGAGTTATCTCTTGGTCTCGTCTCTAATTTAATTAAAGTCGTCCCTTAATTAAATTAATTAATTAATTAAATTAATTAAGGTCGTCCCTATTTTGATTGCGGATTGTCCAGTTTGTTTATAAATGCTATTTAAGCGAGCGAGCGAGCGCACGCACGATCGTGCGCGTACACTCACACACACACACACACACACACACACACACACACACACACACACACACACACACACACACACACACACACACACACACACTCACGCACACTACAAACCTCTGTCAAGGAAAAGGATCTTAGAGTATAACTCCGGGTACATCTCGTGAGGCGCACATCACCCAAATAACTGCTGCAGCATATGGGCGCCTAGCAAACCTAAGAACAGCATTCCGACATCCTAATAAGGAATCGTTCAGGTCGCTGTACACTGTGTACGTTAGGCCCATTGCAGCACCATTTTCGAACCCACACCGAGCCAAGCACGTAAGGAAACTAGAGAAAGTGCAAAGGTTTGCAACAAGACTAATCGCGGAGCTAAGGGGTATGTCCTACGAGGACACAGGGCACACACACACATACACGCACACACAGAGGTATGTCAGGAGCTCAACACGAGATTTAAAGAAGTATTTACAGTGGAAACCAGTAGGACTCCAGGAAATCAGAACAGAGGGGTACACCAGCACGTTCTGGATGAGGTACATATAACCAAGGAGGAGGTGAAGAAGCTGCTATGCGAACTTGACACCTCAAAGGCGGTGGGACCAGACAACGTCATCTCTCCGTGGGTCCTTAAAGAGGGAGCAGGGATACTGTGTGTGCCATTAACAAAGATCTTCAACACACCAATTGAAACTGGGCAACTCCCTGAGGTATGGAAGATGGCAAATGTAGTCCCAATTTTTAAAAAGGGAGACAGACATGAAGCACTAAACTACAGACCTGTATCACAAACGTGTATAGTATGCAAGGTCATGGAGAAGATCATCAGGAGGAGAGTGGTGGAGCACCTGGAAAGAAACAAGCGTATAATTGACAACCAGCACGGTTTCAGGCAAGGAAAATCCTGTGTCACAAACCTACTGGAGTTTTATGACAAGGTGACAGAAGTAAGACAAGAAAGAGAGGGGTGGATCGACTGTATTTTTTTGGACTGCAAGAAGGCCTTCGACACAGTTCCTCACAAGAGGTTACTGCAAAAGCTAGAGGATCAGGCACACATAACAGGAAAGGCACTGCAATGGATCAGAGAATACCTGACAGGGAGGCAACAACGAGTCATGGTACGTGACGAGGTGTCAGAGTGGGCGCCTGTGACAAGTGGGGTTCTACAGGGGTCAGTCCTAGGACCTGTGCTGTTCTTGGTATATGTGAATGACATAATGGAAGGGATAGACTCAGAAGTGTCCTTGTTTGCGGACGATGTGAAGTTAATGAGAAGAATCAAATCGGATGAGGATCAGGCAGGACTACAAAGAGACCTGGACAGGCTACAAGCCTGGTCCAGCAACTGGCTCCTTGAGTTTAACCCCGCCAAATGCAAAGCCATGAAGATTGGGGAAGGGCAAAAAAGACTGCAGACACAATATAGTTTAGATGGCCAAAGACTGCAAACCTCACTCAAGGAAAAAGATCTGGGGGTGAGTATAACACCGAGCATATCTCCTGAGGCGCACATCAATCAGATAACTGCTGCAGCATACGGGCGCCTGGCAAACCTACGGATAGCGTTCCGATACCTCAATAAGGATTCGTTCAAGACTCTGTATACCATCTACGTCAGGCCCATACTGGAGTATGCAGCACCAGTTTGGAATCCACACCTAGTCAAGCACGTCAAGAAATTAGAGAAAGTGCAAAGGTTTGCAACAAGACTAGCCCCAGAGCTACGGGGATTGTCCTAAGAGGAAAGGTTGAGGGAAATTTGGCCTGACGACATGGAGGCCAGGAGGGTCAGGGAACATGATAACGACATATAAAATACTGCGCGGAATAGACAAGGTGGACAAAGACGGGATGCTCCAGAGATGGGACACAGACACAAGAGGTCACAATTGGAAGTTGAAGACTCAGATGAATCAAAGGGATGTTAGGAAATATTTCTTCAGTCACAGAGTAGTCAGGCCGTGGAATAGCCTAGAAAGTGACGTAGTGGAGGCGGGAACCATACATAGTTTTAAGGCGAGGTATGATAAAGCTCATGGAGCAGGGAGAGAGAGGACCTAGTAGCAATCAGTGAAGAGGCGGGGCCAGGAGCTATGAATCGACCCCTGCAACCACAAATAGGTGAGTACAAATAGGTGAGTACACAGGCAGGACTACAAAGAGACCTGGACAGGCTACAAGCCTGGTCCAGCAACTGGCTCCTTGAGTTTAATTAACCCTGCCAAATGCAAAGTTATGAAGATTGGGGAAGGGCAAAGAAGACCGCAGACACAATATAGTTTAGATGGCCAAAGACTGCAAACCTCACTCAAGGAAAAAGATCTGGGGGTGAGTATAACACCGAGCATATCTCCTGAGGCGCACGTCAATCAGATAACTGCTGCAGCATACGGGCGCCTGGCAAATCTACGGATAGCGTTCCGATACCTCAGTAAGGATTCGTTTAAGACTCTGTACACCATCTACGTCAGGCCCATACTGGAGTATGCAGCACCAGTTTGGAATCCACACCAGGTCAAGCACGTCAAGAAATTAGAGAAAGTGCAAAGGTTTGCAACAAGACTAGTCCCAGAGCTAAGGGGATTGTCCTATGAAGAAAGGTTGAGGGAAATCGGCCTGACGACACTGGAGGACAGGAGGGTCAGGGGAGACATGATAACTACATATAAAATACTTCGCGGTATAGACAAGGTGGACAAAGACGGGATGTTCCAGGGAGGGGACACAGACACAAGAGGTCACAATTGGAAGTTGAAGACTCAGATGAATCAAAGGGATGTTAGGAAGTATTTCTTCAGTCACAGAGTAGTCAGGCCGTGAAATAGCCTAGAAAGTGACGTAGTGGAGGCGGGAACCATACATAGTTTTAAGGCGAGGTATGATAAAGCTCATGGGGCAGGGAGAGAGAGGACCTAGTAGCAATCAGCGAAGAGGCGGGGCCAGGAGCTATGAATCGACCCCTGCAACCACAAATAGGTGAGTACACATACACACACACACACACACACACACACACACACACCCCGTTTTCTTTAAGGCATTACAGAAACACCTCCATCATCGAAATTTTCATAAGTTTAACAGGTCGTACTGAAACTTTTTTAACCTTAAGTAATTTAGATAGATAAAAAGCTTTAAGTATATACATCTTAATGAAATTTTATGTGAAAGACTTTTGTTTACTAACTTTAAAAGGTGATGATGGTAAAAGTGGATCAGTTAGTCTAAACATTTTAAATTGTGTCTGCTACGAATTATTTAGGAACTGTATTTTGCTGAAGTTCAAATATATATAATAACATTCATTATCGAAAATCATACCTTAGGTATGAAATCTAATTTTTTCTTAATTAAGTAATGTGCACACACGTGAATCTGAAAGGGCAATAACCCTGGAAATTCCGGAGATACTAACCCCTTATCCCCATGGAGATCCGTTGATGGAGGAGGGCAGGACTTAGCTTCCACCTCCAGACCCAAGAACTCTTCTTTTCTTTGACCTGAACTTGTGAGCTTAACATTTCTGACTCTGGGTTCTTATCGTATGGTTATTATATTAACGTGTTTCATTGTTTCCACAGAGTACTTGGAAAACATGTAATGAGGAGCGACTCCTCGTCCGTCTTCTGAACAGCGGTCAGTGTACTAACAGCATTAACTTACGAGTCTTGACTTAAATACTGCTAAAAGAGCTTGAGTATCTTGTAGCAAACGAAAAGAATTTTGATTGAGCTTGTCAAAGTTTATAACCTCGCGTTTTCTTCTTTATTTTCCAGAAGTGTCTGAAGACTCAAAAAATAATGGAAGAAGTGAACATCACAAATGATGTCAATTCGGCAATTCCCAGAAACTAGTTTATGACTACAATTTGTTACAATTAATTGGCGGAGAGTGTAGAGGTCGCTTCAGTCTTGATAGTTGTCATTCTTCAAGTGTTTCAGGTCTTTCCAATTTCACTTTCCTCATATCAATGTCAAAAACCATTCACAGTAGTGTTATTTATGTAAAGCGTATTTTAAGTGTCCTGAAAATGTGAGATTTCGCTTATAAGGAAAACTTTATCATCAAGGAAGAAAACACACACGTCAGGTCTTTACCTGAACAACGTTTCGCTCTGTGTAGTTTTTTTTTAAGTCATTATGTGATAAATCTCCTCACAGAGCGAAACATTTTCCCCAAAATGTGTTATTTCTTGACTACTGTTGACAGTGAGCCACTTGGATCCGACACGAAGGAAGAAAGTTACACTCGTGTATCTACATCCTCTTCCCGGGATCTACCACTATTTATTGTTTCAGATTAACAGTGTTTTGAATAAAAAATTAGTGTTGTGATGAGAGTATTTTAATTATCACCGATTTGTCCTGCCTCCTAAAACGTTCTTTCCTTTTGTGAATATTATAAAACATATGTACATATACGAGTGACAGATACTTAGTTAAGTACAATACTTTAACTACGGGAATTATTCCAAGCTCTACAGAATTTTACCTGTACATTGTATCGAGGATTAAAATTCCAGTGATCCATTTTCTGCCTAATTTCCGGCATATTTCCCCTTTCTCAAAAAATTGCAGTGAACTGTAGCCCATGATTTGGAATGAATTACGGATATGATTTGGACTGCAACTGATGGACATATAAGCAGTTTCCACTATACTGTGATTATAGTATCTCTAAAGTTGTTGTAATATAAATACGATAGCAGAATATTTGTGATAGAAGCAAACTGTTCAGATAACTGTCAAATGGTAATGATAATGTTGGAAGTTATACACAGTGAATAATGCAAAAGGTTCTAACACTTCGTAAATCACCTCTTACCTCAACTCTGCGTTATAAACGGCCATAAAATTTTTAATTTTTACTTTGATAATGAACTTCTGCTTAATGACCATGATTTGCTTTAGAGGGTTAAGGGTTTGAACTTTATTTTTCGGGTCTATCTTTTTATATTGGTTTGTGAAATCTACGTCGCGTTTACTTTTAAACGCATGGATGATTTTTGCCTCTGGTATTTTTTTCTCTGCTTTTCTAACACCGAAAGAATACCTCCTAGCCTCTATGATTCATCAGTGTCAACTTCCTTTTTCTTTCCTAATCACTTCCCTTCCCTTCTGTGTCCCTTCATTGTTTCCTTGTTGGTCACTTGCTTTCCCTGCTGTGTCCTTTTATTCTGTTTCCTTCCTGGTCACTTGCCTTCCCTGCTGTGTCCCTTCATTCTGTTTCCTTCCTGGTCACTTCCCCTCCCTGCTGTGTCCATTCTTGTTTCTTCTTGGTCACTTCCTTTCCCTGCTGTGTACCCTTATCCTGATTCCCCTTCCAGTTTTGTCCCTCTTCCTCGTCCTTCTATGGTCACTCCCTTATTGTGTCCCATCTTCCTGATTCCTCCCTAGATATCTCCTTTCCTGCTGTGTTATTTTGAAGCCTATCTACTTGGTTATAACTATATTTCATCTGCAATCCACCATTAAAGAACACTCTATTGCCTAAAATACGCCATTCGATGTATACACATTGTTCTTCTAAATGCATATGCATGGAGAAAAAAAATACACCCTCAGAATTATGTAATGGATTATTTCCCGAAACCATAAGTAGAGTAGGGAGAAACGTATGCTATCGACAAGCTCTACTGATTTCTGGCCTCTAGTAAACTATTATATCCACTCTTAAAAACTGTGCATGGTGTTTACATCCTCAGGCTGTTTAGCTAGGTCGACTGATTTTTTTTTTTTAAATTTCTTTAGGTCATCTGCGTCATTTGATTCCATGAGTCATTCTCCTCTACCTCAAACAGCCGATTCCACTACATGCTATCTAATCTTCACAAGCAACTGTTTCCTTTATGATGTGTCTCCAAGACACAGGCGTAATGACAAGATTGTAAATAACTCGCATAGCAAGTGTTTGAACTCTGGGCGAGCCAGTTCTAAAACTAGCAGACCAGTACATTAATTACTGTACATGCAGGCCTAGCCAGAGCTTCACACCAACCTGCATTTATGGTCACAATGGTACTCATACTAACCTTGCCAGTGTGTCCAGAAACACCCGTCCTGAGATGGTGTCCAGCTAAATATTTGAAATAAGTAATTAGGCTGATTATAAGACTTTCTTATATAAGTTTATTTTATTTACTTTCAATACTGCACCGAAAAGATTTTTTATTGATAAAATAATGTTATTCCTGAGATAATTTTAATATATTTTTCTTTATTAACGTTTAATAAGAAATGATAATTTCTAGTCTAAGAAACAATTTTCAGCGCCTATTGCTCGGAAACTTATAATCAATAATTATTTTTATTATATAAATTATTTATTCCCATAAGACTGTTAGTTCAGCATTCCTTTGGTAAAGTTCATTAATCACAACATTATAACTATATTGTATTTTGTAAATATATTAACCACACTTTCTCGTAAGTCTAACACGGTAACTTACACTATTTATTTACAATTATCAATGCATACAAAAATCAACCTTTTAAGTACCGACAAATGTTTGCATTGTTTCCGTAGAGAAGTAGAGGAGCAACATATTCTCAGGTTGTTATTGTTAAGCCTTTATCTACAATATATTCCTCAACATTTATTTTTTTTTCCAGCTCTCGAAGTAGCATTGTATCCCAGCAACAATATTATTTGGTTAAAATTTGTGTTCCTCCTTCTCTCTCTCCTGGCTGATGAATCAATAATTCTCATTGTTCGCATCGCTTCCGGGCCGTGCGGACCTGCTGCGCAGATGCTCCTGATTGAGTTGGCTTGTGCGCAGTTTACCTGTTTGAGCTGCTACCCCTGGCGTTAGCTGGTGAAAACTTTATTTTCCAACATGGCGCTGCATAGCAGCAGGCGCATCAACACTGTCTGCGTTGAGTTGACCCGTGGGGCTGTCACGGGAGCCACGATGGATTTGTTACTACCGGCGATTATCCGTGATACCTACGGTATCGCAAATGAAGAGATTATGTGGTGTAGCATTTAATGGACGACACGGATCTTCGTTAAAATTGACGTCAGCAAATGTCTACGAAGCGGTGGTTAATAAGTATCAAGAGACCATTATAGCCGTCAATTCAGCTGTATCAGTACGTCTTCATGATGATGATCTCGACATTACACATGGGTAAAAATCAGGAATGTGCTTTTTGAGGAGACTGATTTTGTTATAAAAGATGAACTACGTAATTATGGTACGGTTCATATGGCCTCTGCAGGTCGGTGGGCCGCTGGACCTTATGCTGGAATGTTGGAAGGAACATATTCAGTCAAAATGACCTTACGCCATCCCATACCATCCTATGTTATGTTGCAAGCATTTCGAACTCAAGTATATGTAACATATGCGGGGCAACGTCGTACGTGTCGGCTGTGTGGGTCGTATGACCACATAGCGGCGCAATGTGGTAAGCGTCATGGGAATCTCCAACTATCGCAACAGCAACAATCGGAAGAGGTCGAGGAAGGTGAGGGACGAGACCAGTCTTATGCTAACCTGTCTCGACAACGGTCATCTTGGAGTGATGAGGTAGAAAAAGCACAGGAGAATGCTTTGGAGGATGCAATACAGCGAGGAGAATCACCGTCATTGGACATAAATAAAGTATTTGAAGAGACTCTGCCCACTATGGGGGAAGAGGATGTAGCGGCGTCTTTAGTGAAGGCACTGGATGTTTTGTTAGACGAGTCGATCGTCAACCGTGTGGACGATCCAGGTGCAATTTTGGGATCGGTTGAGCATCATGGTGAGGCGACAGATGGAAGCATTGAGTCTAGTGTGTAGCATGGTATGATAGTGAATGTAGCAGAAGTGGAGGTGCATCACGATAGTACTAAAGAAATCCCAATGCAGGTAAAGGGTAGGACGCGAAAGCGAACTGCGACCCCATCGGACTCAGACGACGTGCTTACTCCTGCCCAGGCCAGGGAAAAAGTCTTGGGCGGAGGTACAGAGGAAAGGGAACAGTGAATCCACGAAACAAGAGTTTATCAAGGTGGTTCCCAAAAAAAGGGGGAAGGGATAGAGGTGTTGTAAAATGTATAAGTGAAAAGTCTATACCTAGAACGAAAGGAAAATCCCATTAATTGACTTTAAGGTTTTGACAATAAATATCAACGGTTTGAGATCTGAGCGGAAGCGAAAGTGGTTTAATGAATTTTTGGTGCGTCTAGATGTGGATGTGGCATTTCTCCAGGAACACAATTACAGAATTGGATATGAGTTAGAAATGGATGGTTACGATGTGTATATGGAATATGCGACGAGGTTAAAAGGGGGCGTCGCCATTCTGGTAAAGGAAAATAGCCCGTTTGTAGTACGGCATAGTGAAAAGGGGGAGGGGAGAGTGATTAGGGTGGATGGTTTATGGGGTAGAGTACACATAAGTTTTGTATGTGTATATGGGCCGGCCGAGGGAGATGTAAGACTTAAAACTCATTTTGTACAAGATGTATTAGTATATTTTCTACGTAGTTTACCAAATGTAGCGATAATAGGGGGCGACTGGAATTGTGTAATACGACGAAAGGATGTGGAGCCTCGAGGAGCGGGTTGTTGTTTGGGGTTCCTGGGAGATTTATTGACGAGTGTGGGTTTAATGGATGTGTGGGGGGGGGGGTGGCATGGTGGAGCATACTTTCATTAGACGAGATTATGCGGCGAGATTGTATAGAATGTACGTGTCTTGTGCGGTTACAGTGCGGAGAGTGAATGTGATAAATGTGGTTTTTTCGGATCATAGAGGAGTTGTAATGGATGTAGATATTGAGGGTGTGCCTAGGAGGGGTCCATCATTTTGGAAATTGAATGTAAAGTTATTGAAGAGAGAGGAAAGTCGTTTGTCTTTTGGGCATATGTGGGAACGCCTAGCTAGTGGTTGAAGCACCTGGAGATGTGGCTTTGGTTAATTGGTGGGAAACGATAGCCAAAAGGCGAATTAAGGAATATCATATTAGTCAAAATATGATATTGTTTCCAACGATATTTAGAGGGGCAGTTGCGCGACTGCTATGTACAAGCGAATGCTAATTATCCTGTTATAGAAATTGAAAGAATTAAGGAGCAACTAAGAAATTTACAAAACGAAAGGTTTGATGGGGAAAGGCTTAAGGGTGGAATCGAAGAGGTTTTGTGGGGAGATCGGCCGTCGGCGTGTGTGTTGAGGAATCAACACAGACGTCGCAAGGCAATGGAGTTAATGGGGTTGAATGTTCAGGTAGGTATACAGGGGTATAGAGTGAATCAGGTGTTGACGACGACGGAGGGTATGAGTGGGTATATTGATGCTTGGGTTAAATTGAAAACGCAAAGTGTTGGAATAAGTGAAATTGC